TTTGTTACTTAGACCTATATCAGCAGGTGCCAAGCAATTTAAATATCAAGCAAAAATGTTCCTCTACTCCAAATTATTTGTATGATTAATTTATACCTAAGTGCTCATACTACTCTGAATAGTGACTTTTACTTTTTTACTTACTATTTTCTTTTTATACTATATATTAATGTATACTATTTTTTCTGCTTTGTTATTTTTTACTGGTTTTGGTATTTTAAGTGACTATATAAATCAATGGATTCCAATAATTGGATGTTAAAAGCATATAAAAATAAGAATAATAGTTTCATTTCCCAGTACTTTAAAATACAAGAGTCACAGAGTATGCTAATTGCCTTTTATAATAGGGTTAGTTCTGGTTAGCACTTGCAAGGGGTCCAACAATAATCTGCAGGATTATAAAGGAGAAGTCAGTGACAAACCAGTTTATTTCTATTGTGAAAAAAGCTATTTGGCTGTGTTCATAAAATCACCAGGAGTTAGGGTTAAACTAGGAGACCTTATCTTTTAATGAAAACTGATCCTCATCAATTCAAGATTAGTTTGCGTTTATTTTAGCTTTCCAGCTGTAGTTATTTCCATAACCTAGGCTGGATAACACATTAACATTATATATGAAATGTGAAGTGTACAGATACATAAGTGGAAAAAAGTTTAAGAAAACTGCAAATCTCAGAGCTGCATAAATGTAAATCTATTTTCTCAGCCTTCCAGCCCATTTTCATGCTGTCAAATTCCTACCTCTTGTTTTTCTGGAAAGAAAAAGGAGCAGATGGGCTGGAGACAGAGAACAGGAACAGAAAACCAATAAATTTTCCATTCCAAGAACTTTCATTCTGGCTTTTTAAAAAGTTATTTTGTAAAAGGGCTTCAGATTCTTGCATTGCTTATCCATCCTCAATATTTTAACTCTCCTTAGCATGTCACTTATATTTAGTAACTCATCCAAGTTATTGTAGTTCATTATGATGAAGTGTGATAATAAGGCAGTAGCAACTACTATTAGATTCAAATTTGTAACAAAATTAATAGTTTCTAATAAATTTGTAAAATGTACCAGACAACCACTCTATCAGATTCCTTTTTGTCCTCCCTAACCTCACCTTTACCTTAATAGCAATCTGAGGACTCAAACAAGGTATTTGTTCTTCCTCTGAGCTTAAGAGGTTCATCTCTTTAGCATGCATCTCCTAATCAGTCCACTTGAACCATGAGTCATACTGCAAGATTATTCAACCGATTAGAGAAAATAGAAGATATGGTCTTGAAGGATGGACCCAATAAGACTATGGCTGAGAGTTCTCAGAGCTGAAGTCTACACATCTGAAAGTTATTCAATGGTCTGACTTTGTGATTTAAATGTCGTTAATGATGATGGTAATATTATCCATCCAGTCTTGTCCAACTCTTGGCGATTCTATGGGCCAGGTTTCTCTACATCTTCTGTCTTACATTAGTTTTCCGAGTTGTTCTATGCTTTGGCTGGTGTCAGCTTTGATGGTGTCCAGCCACTGTGTTCCTTGGTGGCCTGGTTTTCTTTTACCACTAATTCTTCCAAGTATAATTGCTTTCTCCAGTGAATTCCTCTGCATGACATGGCCAAAATATTATCTGCCATCTGCTTTGATTTTTATTTTCACATATGCAATGTACATATGTGAGAGAAAAAAATGTGTTTTCCTCTCTGGAAAAGGCATAATGTGGGCATTTTAGTGTCCCTCATTTCTTTCCCACAGAATTTGGTAATCAGCCAGATGCCCAACTAAGAAATAGTAGTACAAGATTGTTAGCTGCAGCTGGTAGCTGGATGTAAGTAAATAGGAATAGTTCCATAGAGTGAAATAAGATAAGACAAACAGAATAACCAAATAAAGTGTATGAAAATAAAGTTCTACAAAGTAATTTTTCTTATTCCTTTGCTTTTCTTAGTAACTGTGTGCTTATGTTATATTGTATTTTATGAGTACATATAATTTTTCCAACTATAAAGTCAAAATAATGCAATGTTGTCTTAAATATCTCATATAAAAACCTCACAATAATATTTAAATTAAATATAAAGCCTTTAAAAGTTAAATAAATGAAAATTGGTTCCATCTCTCAACATAGATTTATTGATCCTCTGTCAGAAAATAATCAGTTCTATTTTATGAATATTGGTAGACCTTATTCATTTTTAAAAGTTACTTTTATAAATCTTGGAGTTTTTTTCTGTGAAGATACTGTCTATTACAGCAATATAACATTTTTTGTAGCTAAGATGATACATTGTAAATCTACGTATTCTCGAAAAAACATCTTTCTCTCCTTACACTATCCTTTCCAAGCAAGTCTGGGAAATTACAATAGGCCAAGCCAATTATGGTGTGTTAACTATAATATTTGTCCTGAAATTGCAGTCAGTTGCTACACTATCTTCACTTTTTGAACAATCTAGTCAGTCCATAATTGCAGCTGTTATTTCTTAAAATTATACCTAAATTGTCCCCTGCTTTCACGTTTTGATTGTCATCATCCAGATAGTACATTCTCCATGGGCTTACCCAAACTTGATGATTACCAGATACAGACAATAAAATCATCTGCTGTAGATAAGAATTCATATTTATTTTAATGAGGATGATATATTTATCTGTGAAATAAACCCATCAAATATTCAGGCACTATTTTTTAAATGTTATCCTTAAGAAGCTATTGTAACAAATTGCTTCCAGTGCTTTGTTAGCAGAAAATAGTTTTGAATTTTAAAATTTCAGATGATTGAGAAGATATATTTGGATCTTATATTACATTGACCATTTAATCTAATACTGACTTCATTTTTAAGACTCTTGTGTCAATATGTCAAAATCTACTTACCCTAAATAGTAATGAGGATCTTTTGCAATCTAGCAAGGACATACCATTTTATGAAAAACTATCAATTCCTTAATTTTGCAATAGTGATTTGTCATTATATGAATATATTCCCTCAGTTGTATGTTGGAATACACCTATATCTACTTCTTCTAATTTTTCAGTATTTATGTTTAATTTGCAATAATTCACTTAATTTTCCTCTTTGAGTACAACTCCATTGTTCTCTGACATGTTTAGATCCATGCTCCTTATTTGCATTCTCTGTAAATCACTTGATCCTTCAGATGACAAAATGGTGTCTGCATAAAAAAATACACACATTTTCAAATCTTTCACTCACACACTTGTGTCATCAAGAAAAGGTTAATATGTATTCATCTAGCCTTTCTCAACTGAGCTTCTGTGGAACTCTTGGGTTCCAGGAGAGGTCACTGAGGGTTCTGCAAAAAATAATGATAAAAAGAATAATAAACATTCTTTTTGAACTTTGCTCACTGTGGAATGCTAGCTATAGATACCACTTTTCTGTAAAGATCTACTGAAACCTAAAAATTATTTGAAATGTTCCTCCAGAATAGAAAAATTAAAGGCTATATTAATCTTTAAATACATCAAATTCCTAAAGAGCATTACACATCTTTGCCTTACTCACAGTTCAATTTAGAACTGTCAGCTAAAGTTTCCATTTATTCTCATGCATGCTTAACTACAGGTAGTCCTCAACTTACCACAATTCATTTAGTGACTGCTCAAAGTTACAACGGCACTGGAATAAGTGACTTATGATTGTTTTTCACACTTATGACCATTGCAGCATCCCCATGGTCAAATGATCAAAATTCAGAAGCTTCACAACTGACTTATGCCAGTTTCATTGTCTTGGGGTCATGTGGTCCCTTTTGTGACCTGACATGGAAAGTCAGCGGGGAAGCCAGATTCACTTAACAACTGTGTCCCTAACTTAAGAATTGCAGTGATTCACTTAAAAACTCTGGCAAAAAAGGTCACAAAACTCACTTAACAAATATATCAGTCAGCAACAGAAATTTTGGGCTCAATTGTGATCTTACGTTGAAAACTATCTCTACCAGTATACATTCATTTTATCAGGATTCACCAACCAATCTTCAACCTCATATTTGCACGGAACAGTCTGTTCAAGTCTATTATCTCTAAATCAGCACATGCATTAATCCTCCATTTTATTAATTTCTCAACAATTTGCTGAAGAGTAATAAATTGCATTAAAAGACATAAACTTTCAAAATCTACAGTTCGCTTCACCAGATACATGAAGTGGCTCAACCGATAAGAGATTTAAATTGGTGTGAAGCAGGAGAATAGAAGGGAAAGGAAAACAAAGTGATTCTTCAAAGCAGGATATAAATACCCTATGAATTAACAGTTGTAATGTGTTTTTAAAAATGTTTTTGTTGAGATGGCCTGGAACCATTTAATATATGTGTGTGTACTCTAACTTAATTTTGCTGGTAAAGTTTTTTTGTTGCAAAACAGCTATTTTGAATTTTGAAATAATTGATACCCCGGGAGCTGAAATACTTGTTTTGAATTCTGATGTGAAATGTATATCCATTAACTCTTTTTCCACAGGCTGATCCATTAATTATTTTAGTCAAATGCCACAACTGCTGTTTTGCCAAGAGTATGTTCACACTATTTTATGCAAAGTAGGATCGCTGATTTATAGACTACCTTGCAAACCAACGTTCTATTGTCAGCATCCCACCAAATAGGAGGGATATAAAATATACTGCTACTCAGATAAACTTATGTATGTGATAGGAAAGTTCTACTCTCTTATTAAATTTACTGTAATGGACTACAGCAGATTCCTAGGCAGTAGGAAAAGGAAGAGATTTAGGATAACAATTCTCTAGAATCTCCCAGGATATAGCCATTAGGTGAGGCCAGTATAGGTTTAATCTGGCAAGATTCTGTCTATACGGTATATTCAAATAAAGAACTTAACTTTGACTAGAATCCGTCAAGTCATTCTTTAGATAGGCCTGACACTTATTAATGTAATGAATGTATTAATGTAATGAATATATGTTATAGATTAAAAAGTGTAAATTAATGTTTCAGGAAATTGAAATTTCCTTTTATCTGTTTTGTAGACTCAAAATCGCATGAAACTGATGGCAGATAATTATGAAGATGATAATCTGAAATCATCTCATTTCAGTCAAACTAATCATAAGCCCTCCCCAGACCAGGTAAGATGATGGTTATTCCTTTTGTTAAAACTAATCTGTTACAACTGAAATATGCCCATTTTTTTATTTTATCTAAGACCAGGATCAGTTCATCTGAAATAGAATCGAAGAACCTGTTTGTTGCAATTATATTATGATTTTCCTTTTCTTTTATAAAATTGGAATTCCCACTAAGCAAATCATTAGATTTCATTGTTTCAAAACTCTTTTTGGGACTGTATTGGTGGACCTGTTGTTCTTATAATAATAGAGTTTAGCTTTATTATGATGACTGACAAATTGTATGACTAAATAAATAGCTAAATTAATTAGCATTTACTTCAAATAAAAGAAAATATAAAATTGTACTAGATCATTGAGGTAATCAGAATGTAGTGTTACAGACAGTATAACAAAATGTTACCACATTCAGGGAAATAAAACTAATGATTTGATAAAAGTAATTGTAGATAAAGTAGATCAGAATTTTCCAGACATTTCATCAAATCTTATATGTGAGGACTGTTTGGAACTGACATTTCCTTTGGAAATGTATATGCTCAAATAAGATCTGTTTATTCTAAGGGAGAGATTGGCTGTCTTCCCCATAGCAAAATCTCAGTTTTTACACTAAATGATCATAGGCCCCTACCTTAAAAGTTTAGTAAAATTTGATTTAAAAGAAATTAATTTATAATTTCTGATGCATGGGCTAGCTTTCTATATTGCTGACTAAACTAAAACATGATTTAGATGATATCAAATGGCTTAGCAAACACAATAGTTACTGCAGGAGAACTTTCTAACTAGAAAAACATTAACAGTAAATATAAGATGGCCAGCTTACTGAAATATTAATACTGGCTCAAAGAAAACTAACAACTCACAGATTTTTCCACTATAGTTCTCAATGGCCTGGGGAGATTAAAGAGGTTTTAGCCATTCTAGTTGATAAAATATGCTATAATGATATTTAGATTATCATGAATAAGTAAATTATCCAAACATACAATGATTCAGAACAGTAGAATAGAAAAGTATGCTAAAATAGTGCTCCCTTTCCTATTACATTATTCCTTTGAATGATTTAAATACTAACCAGATCTTTATTTCATTCCCATGCTTCTTTGGTGCTTTTCCCCCTTGTCTTCTTTCAACCAATAGGATGAGGAGGAGGGTATTTGGGCATAGCCAATCAGATGCTCTTAGTTCAGCCATTTTGTTCAGAACGGTGAGAATTGGCTTTATTTACCAGTAGAAAAATATCCAATGATCACTCTTGCATCTTGCTTCTGTGTGATTATGTGGTTTAAGTATCTTTCCTTTCCCTTTTTAATGTGGTATTTGCATGTAGAGATTATTCCTACTTTTTGTTGTAGCTGTATTATTTTGTAATTTGTGTTAGCTTTGAATTGTTTTGTGAGAATACTCTCCCAAAGCATGCAATTGGATTTACAGCAAAGTAACAGCATGATTCATGAAGGAACAAATGCTTCCATTATAATTTAACAGCACAATTTGAACATGGTTTCCAATATTTATGTTTAGAAAACTTCTCTGACAAAGTTGTATATTCTATCTTTTATTCTTAAATTACACATAAATAAAAATATTTTATTTCCACTACTTATATTATAATTCATGACCAAAATGAACTATGCTGTTAACATTGCTATATGTAAAATTATGTAAAAGGTTCATTATAATAAAATTAGATTGGAAGATTAATAATAATGCACCAGATTCTGTGTACACTTTTTGATTTACTAAGTCTATGTATTGTAACTCTAATCCAGACACATGAGGTTAAATTTTAATAAGACAATCTGAGAATTAAATAAGTAATCCCCTTCATACAGAAAATTGTTTAATTCAAGCTTCTTTGTGATCTCATAGTGTTTGAAGATGCTTTTTTGTCATGTCTCTATATCTATAAATGGTTTGTAATAATAAGTAAACTATATTGTTGAAGAATGCTAATGAACAGGAAGAGATGAGGTAAGTTAATTAGTTCAGATACATTTTTATTGTAAAAAGTAAGTTGCAGGCAGGATTTCATGAATAATGAGAAAAGTGCAGCTGAAGGAACATACTCAGATTCTAGTCTTCCTTTCGACATGAAAGCCAAGTCAGTGACTTCGGCCTAGTTACTTTCTCTGAGCCTTCATCCACATCAGGCTATAAAACAAACCAGCCGATGTACAAAACATCATACACAGAGCTTTGAGGTGAGAACTAGGGCAAGCACAGGGGAAAAAACAAACATATCCTGCAACTCTGTGAGACCAATGCTAAGAACAATCCCATAAGATACATTAATGGAGTTAATAAATTTCAGTACTTAGCACAGTTAAAATTCTTGTCAGCATTGAGATTTAAAACACATAACTGAATAATATCTTGTAATAGTCAGTTTCTACAATTTGCTTTGAAGCAAGTTTTTGGAAATTCAACAGCAAGTTATATTGAAAAACATTTAAAAGTAGACAAATGAAGAAATTCTGCTAGGGCAGAATCACTTTTTTTAAGGTAATGAAGCCTGTTAAAAAATATTCCTACCTCTTGGGAAGGACCCCCTCATTGATAGATGCCCTAGAAGGCATGTAGGTGGTGCAAGGACCTGAGATCTGGTCCATCAGCCCTGTCTATTTGGCAGGTGCTTTTGTATCCTCTCAAGATAAGCTCTGCCGCTGTGGGAAGTGGTGCAGCTCTTGCTATAAGTGGTCAGCTCAAATTAGATGTGGGAGAAGTCTAGAGATAAGACATACTTACTGGTGAGGCAAATGAGTCCCAAGGGAAATAAGCAAACTCTTCAGAGAGCTCTGCAAGGCTCCAAACCAGCAGGGTCAGCACATTTCAAAAGTAAACTATATTCATCAAATTAGGAGGCTTCCCACAAGTGATAAAGAAGTTGATAATAATAACTGAAAACAACTTCTATTAGTTATTAATATAATCTCCTCTCCATCTACAAAGGCAAAAGTGAAAGACGCAGGAAGTATTTAGGCAAAAAGTTCCACTTTCAGATACGTAGTGTGCTTTTGATATATTGATATATTTTAGCTCTCAACAAGAACATACTCTGTGGGAGAGTATGTTCAATCTTTTCAACAAAAACATGTTTGTTTTCCTCATTTTCATCAGTGAAGACCTATTCAAACACTTGTATTTTAATTTTTCTTCTGTAACCATAGACGGTTGATATTTTCCACCTAGGTTCCTTGTGGTGTTATTCCATGCTGCCTCTTTAATACAGCGCTAAAATGTTAATCCCAATGTTGTACTATAAACAGGGTTCTACCAGGGAAAGGATTTTGACACCACTAATCTAAAGCTTTCAGCTCCTCCTATTGCATGGCCATTAATCCATTCACAGAGTGTTGGAAACACAGCAAAGGAGCCAGAACAATTGTGTATTCATCGACACTGTTGAAAGTAATACCAGCACCTGTTTCTGTTGACTGAGAGATTATCACACTTCCACATTCATTATTAGGGTTAAAGGGTATAGTTGGAAAGATACCTTATGCTTGCTGACAAGCAGCAGGTGCAGCCATAGTTCTGCTTGCAGTGAACATTTAGGCAGCCAGAAGTTTGCCATTGGTGGTCTTTGCTGAAGTTCTGTAGATGATTTGTCAGAAATTTCATTTCATACTGCCTAACGTTTCATGATTAAAAAGAAATGTGGCTCCCTGCATTTTTCAAAACATTTGAAAATGATATTCTAAGATACAGTAGTTTTGGGGCAGGGAGTGGGGGGTTGTATGAAATGTGAATTTCCTAAAAGTACTTTTTAGTTAAAGAAAAGTGTCTGCAAATCTCCTGAGACTGGATCCACACATACCCTTCCCTTGCCCAGTAGTTGGTGATTTCTCTTGGCTTTCCTCCAGTTTCTTTTATTAAAGTTCATTAAACATTCCCTTTGTTTCTGTTTCAGGGTATGATTGAATTATTTTCTGTTGTTTTAGGTAATTCAGCCTCTTTTAGACCTTGATCAGAATCGTAGCAAGTTGAAGTTATATATTGGACATTTGACAGCCCTATGCCATGACCGGGACCCTCTGATTCTCCGTGGACTCACTCCTCCCACATCCTACCACCTGGATGAGAATCGTGCAGCTTGGGAGAAGGAGCTGCAGAAGATGACTCTGGAGCAGGTCAGACTGATGCTTTTATTGGGGTGCTTAAACTGGGAGCAGGCCGTGTCAGTTCCTTGATTCTGTCTGAATTTATTTTATTTTCTAAATAAATGAAAGTGTCCAATTTTTTTACTTCAGGGTATAAAGGGTACTTCAAGGTGGAGGTACTGCTATCCTTAAATAATAGGAATTCAGAAATATATTGTCAGTGCAGGATTCAATGATAGAATTTCATGTTTCTTTTAGCAGAATGGATAGAAAAGCCCCCAAATTCAGTACTGTCAGTTTAACCCATATTAGACTAAATAAAATAATATCTATTAAACAGAAAAAAATGTGTGAGGACATTTTATATCAGAGTGTAAAATTACTTTACTACACAACTTCTAAGAAATCCTAGCTGATCTATGTCACATTGCCCTAGGCATGCCCAAAGACCCAATTAAATTTTTCCTAGGCCCGCCCTAATTACAATTAATAGCAGTTTATAGAGAGTAAGATAGCTTAAAAGCCTGAGACTTGTTCAGCTATTAATCATTATATCCAGACAAGGCTAAAGTATACCCTTTTTTTATAAAATGGATTCCAAACATTTCTGGTACTTAAAGTATAAATGAGAAAATCTGCCCTTGAATTAACCTGAAATAGAATCTTCAGTATGTTTGTATTGAATCTGTATAAAAGGGTTTTTCTTATTCTATATATGAAAAGGCTTGCTTTCAAGAGGGTTTTTTGTTAAAATATCTAAGTGAAACCTCAGCAATATGTCATGAACTCAAAATAGCATAAAACACAATATATATTAAGAGGTTGACAGATAAGTATTAAATCTGGAGTCTTCCATTGAAAAATTATTGTATGGCTAAAACAATTTTGCAAGAGTAAACCACTTGTTTGGATCTTGAAGAATGGATATGGATCCTAAAAATACATGTGCACATTTATTTTGCTGATATAAGCTTTATGTTTCAGTTATATTTCTTCATTCTCCTCATAACTGCTAGATAACTAATGATGTGGAAAGTCTGTTTCACCCCAGATTCTTGTTTCTTTTACTTATTGCAACAAAGCTTCTGATATGACTTGATATCTTTTCAGGGTATATATGTTTTTTCAATGCATTTATGTATTTGTTTGATTTCTATCCCACCTTTATTTATGCAGCTGAAGAAAGCATTATATAGTGCTGTACAAATAAAGGTGGGATGGAAATCAAATAAATACATAAATGCATGCAAGAAACATACATACTCTGAAAAGATATCAAGTCATATCAGAAGCTTTGTCCTACTTTCCCCAGGACAACAATCCTCGGGGATGCGTTGGGCTGAAAGAGAAGGAGTAACCCAAAGTCACCCAACTTTCCACGACTGTCTTCCATGTTCTAGTCCAGCACCTTAACCAATACATTAAACTAAAAAACTGCTTGTTTCTCTAGCATGCGTATTTGAATATACATATATAACCATGTATTATATTTGCATACTTAGAAACAACTTTTGTGACTTTCAAGCACTTGATTATATTGAATCTTTCTTTTACCATATTATATACCTAATGCTGCTGGATTTTCTATTATTAACTGTGTGTATCCCGAATATCTTTTTTCTTTGTGCTTCAACATGACTCGGTTTAGTAGCTTAATTTAAATCCTTTTCTGTATCATTCTTGATTTAGTCCCGAATTGGGAAATTCTGGTCCAAGGAGTTGCTATGATCAGTTAGTCAGCATAAACGTCACCTTATCAGAATTCCTTTTGTATACTTTGGTGGAAGAAGGTTTTTATGCTTTGTAGCTATTACTGCTAAACTAATAGGAGAAAAAAACGTAGATTTGGTATTAGAAAAGTTATATAATTTTTAAATGTATTAATTATTATCACAGCAATAATAAAAACAGAAAGAAAAGGACAAAATCTTACCCTGTTCATCAGAAAAAAACATCTAAAATATATTTACCCAGAAAATATATCTCTTTTTTTCCAACTTCTGACAAAGAATACATCAGTAGTCTTTTGCTACAGGTGTAAATTTCTCTGATATTCTATTTTAACTCTTTTAGCCAGCCCCCCTGCCTGAAAAATCCACAATGCTATGTCCAAATCCTGATAATATAAATAATAAGAACATACACATGTATAATACTAAAGGAAAAAGAGAGATCTGAAGAACCCAGAATTTGGAACACAGTCTCTTGCATAGAGTAAATTTCAGATACATATCTATTTTCACTTTTCTTACAAATAAAGCTTGCTGTGGCCAGAAAAGTTTATTCCCCAATGTATATCCATAGTTGGTTCCTTATTAAAATCCACCCTTCCTCAAGTAATGTCAGCTGCTACCACCTCAGAATTCATGAAATAATACTTCTTCCTGACCTCTAGATAATTGTATTCTTCAGTTACTTGAATAAATCAAAACATCTGTTAGCCAGTAACATAAAGCAGAACATTTAAGCATATAGATAATCATATTCTAATCCCTATACAAATATGTAACAGATAAAGACATAGGAATCACATTATTCCAAATCAGTACTCTGTTACACCTTTTAAATCATGTTTGCTTTCTATATCAGGAGCTCAGTTCCATTTTGTTTATTTTCTTATATTGAACATTAATGCATAGACATTGAAGGCTGCGAACGTAATGAGCCAGTGTTCCAATTTTTTCATTAATAGGCCCCAATAAAACAATACCCCTCTTTCCTTCTCAATGTGTCCATATTTATCTGAAATCTGTATGTCAGGGCTCTGTATCTCCAGGAGTCCAAATCCCTCTTAATCAAGCTTGGCCAAGGTGTCTAAATAATCAGCTTTTTTGCTAGTTCCTGGTACTCCACATTCACTGAGAGCCTTCACTAAAGATGCCATATTTTCATCAGCCATAACTTAAAATTGGTCAAAATCATAAATGTCTTTGCATAAAATACTGTGGTCCCTCCATCTTCCTTGGCTTTACTTTAACTATGCCAGTTTTTCAATATAGAAAAATAAAAATAAAAAGAAACAATAGGACAGGGACGGTAGGCATGATTGGTGCACTTATGCATGCCCCCTATGAAATATTTATGAATGCCATAAAAAGATTATACATGTGGAAATATATTTTAAACTGGGTGTGCAGATATTTCATATTTCTTAACACTGTTTCAAGTATCAAATTTGAACAAAATATTTAACGTCAGTAGAAAATATACAGAAGCTACTTTGTACAGTTTTTAAATATACCAGAAGTTAAATCCATTTTGAATTCAAGAATTTTCTTTTATGGTACTTCTATTTCCCTACAATAAAGATTTATAAATTTATTTTAAGTTTCCAAAGAATTTTATTTATTGGAGGCCTGATAAGCATTCAGATTAACGGATGCATCTCTTTCTACCTCAAGTTCTGAAAGTCACAGCTTGCTATTAGGTTTTAAAGAAGAAAAACATGTAAGAAATTAAATTCAGAGAACGGACAGAAGTCTGCATGAATTGATGGTAGTAGAAAATTGTGTTTGATGGATATACATTCAAATTCCATCAAAATACATATCCCAGAGAAACATCCTGGATTTTTGGACCAGTTTATTATTTTTAAGCCATAAAAAGTGATGTTTCATGTGGTATATGTGTGACAACAGAACAATTTTTCTGTCCCTGGGAATGAATTGTCTGAATGTTGTTCCTTGAATTTGGAGCATAGCTAATATATATTCTAGGGAGAAATTGGAGAGATGATACTTGGCTGAAAGACCACCAGGAGTAAAGAAGGCATCAATAAACCTTTTTATTGTTATACTGATGCTATTTGCCAAGAAAACACCATGGGTATATCCATTAAAATAGTCATCAAGAGTCAAACTTGACTTGATAATGTTAAACTTAGAAAAAATATCTCAGGCAAATAACAACTATTTCTGAACTTCAAATGGTTCTTGCATGGAGCTGAGCTGAGTTCACGGCAGCATCTGGAAATGTGTTGCCTTTTAGACAGAAAACTAGAATACAAAGGAGCTCGAACTTCTTAATCTAGTTCGGTCTTTAAAATGTTTTGCAAATTTTTGTTCAGGTGTTCCTCGACTTACAACCATAATTAAATCCAAGATGTTTGTTGCTAGGTAAAATAGTTAATTGAATTTTCCTCCATTTTACAATCTTTCTTGCCACAGCTGTTAAGTGAATCATGGCAGTTACTAAGTTAGTAACATGGTTGTTAAGTGAATCTGGCTTCCCCATTGACTTTGCTTGTCAGGAGGTCACAAAGGGTGAACACATGACCCCGGGACACTTGCAACCGTCATAAGTATGAGTCAGTTGAAAAGTGTCTGAATTTTGATCACGTGACAACAGGGATGCTGCTTCAGTCGTAAGTATGAAAAGCAGTCGTAAGTCACTTTCTTCAGTGCTGTTGTAACTTTGAACTAGGCGAAGTGTAGCAAATTGAGGACTACTTGTATCTAATGCAGGGGTCTTCAAACTTGACAGCTTTAAGACTTGTGGGCTTCAATTCCCAGAATCCCTTCTCCAGTCATGTTAGCTCAGGAATTCTGGGAGTTGAAGTTCACAAGTCTTAAAGCTGTCAAGTTTGAAGACCCTTGATCTAATGGATCAAGGAGCTGCAGTTGATTTCAGTATATATTCAGATTATACGATTGCCTCCAAATAACATGGGAAGGGCCCTTTTATTTATTTTTTAACAACCCTTAAGAGGGAAAACTGAATCTTGATTTGGCCGTGTAATGAACCCGAGTGTAGGGACTGAACTTCTTTCCTTCTTCTTCCTTTCCTTGCAGCTTCACAACGAGTTGGAAAAGGCCGAGAAGGACAGCGCAGAGCTACAAGAGTTTGCGAATGCCATTCTCCAGCAGATAGCCGATCACTGCCCAGACATCCTGGAGCAAGTTGTCAATGCACTTGAGGAATCATCGTGACTGAAGCCAGCACTGCTTCTCCAGAGCAGCCTGCCACGAGGTCAGGCTCTCCCAGTTCAAGGAGTCATGAGAATAATAAAGCATATGAAAAGGGGAGGGGGAGGAAACACTCATGGTGCACCTTTTTATAAACAAATGAACATAAACTGGTAATTCCTCCAGTCGATAATGCCTGCATTCATCTTCTTACTGCCTTTCTCCATTGGAATATATGCCGTTCTCGTTGGCTCTGGGATGTGTCCGCTCTGAAATTTGCCAAGACTAGAAAGTGTGACGAGGCACTTGCCTTTATTTTACTTTCCAAGTAATGAACATCTTTGGCCTGTGTGAGGAATTCAATGTCCTCTAATAGTGTCTTATAATGGGCCAACATCCATTTAGCTAGGTTTGCTGCTTATGTCTCTACCAGAGGATTGATCCTAAAGGAGAGGTGGGAAGTGTCCCCCATTCTTAGTGATGCATTGTGTTAAATAAGCACAGGATACGTCCCTGTGTTTTCTTTATTGTTCTGCTTATTGTGAGCCTCATTTTTGTTTACCAAAATGAGCTATGAAATCTGGTGGCTGTTTTCTTCAGCTCATTTTCTTGGCATTTTTAGTCAACTTTACTATAACACTATTGTTGCATTTTTGGTTGAACTGTGCCCCCCCTTTTTCCCCCACTTCTCTCATTTTATCTGATTTCTGGGTTCTTAGGGAGTTCCATCATATCCACAGTGGTATGTTCCAGAGACTCCATCGGTGATTGAGAGCTCGGAATAGCTTTTCTACATGGTATTAGGTTAACATATTGCAATTCGCAGCCTAATTAAGAATCTGAATATTCATTTGAATTATATTAATATAATATATTATTATATTATATTAGTATATTATTATATTAATAATAAAAACACCTTTTGACTAAGGGCGCTACTAGTTCTATGCATAATGTATTCTTAAAAACTGGAACTTTGGTTTTGCTATATTCCTGCCTTCATTAAACTAATTTCCTTATTTCAGGATTCAGGATCATGAGGAACCTTTAGAGCATAAATATGCTCCTTCTTTGACAAAGAATGCAATATCTACAATATAGTCTCACTTTTTTAAAAAAAATTCTTCCTTTCTGGATGCCATATATTTCATTCTTCATCACTGATGTCCCCTTTTCCCTGCTGCCTCATCTCTATCCAGCACATGCCTATCTTCAGATCTGGGAAGCCAGCTCGCATGATGTCATGCATACAATTTTCAAAGAATGCAGTGGGGCAAATTAGGTGTTCATGTTGTCTTGTAGATGCTTCAGAAAATGGATTGGGCATAAATAAGCTTGGTTTTGAATTATAAACAGCCTTTCTTCCTATGGGTTTCCTAATGAAGGGTTCATATTGCTCTTAGTTAGCACCTCCATGGTTTTAGAGATCTGTAATGATAGCTTTAAAGCAACTAGAGCCTCTAGTTAATGCTTTTTAACATAAAAGAGACCTGAGTGATCTTAATTGGCAAGTTGCCTTCACCGGAAGGCATATAGACAGCAACTTATACATAGTATTCACCCATGTCTCATATTAAAGCCACATCTTTGGCCCTAATTCCTTGAATGGCATATTTTGGTATGACCTGCTGCTTTGAAAGCTTCCTGCCAGATTTTCCTCCTTCATCCGTAATTACTCACTGTAGGAATTTAATGCTGCCTATAAAACCATCTCAGCCTTCAGGCCTAACTTTTCCCACCAGTGCTTATCCTATTGAGTTATATGGTTGGATCTTCAGCTGCCCTTGTTCCCTGCCGTAAAATAATCCATTCTCTGTAGGAAAAGCTCTGGAATTTCCTTATCTCTGGTTGAAATTGCTTCTGCTTGTAAACTTAGCTAAGATTCTCCTTGATAGCTTTTTGTTTTGTTTTGTTTGAAGGGGGAATTTTTCTGAAAAATGGAGAAGATAGTTTGTGCTATTCTCATGTACTTATTTCCCTGTTTATGCTAAAGCTTCTTGAGCATTTAACTCTTCCCCTATACGTGGCTACACTAATACAAAACAGGATCTGTTACAAAAAATATAATATTCCAAGAACAACTTAAAAGGCCCCACTGCAATGAAATGGTGATAAATACTATTGTTTGCATTCCATTCACCACTTTCTGGGGAGGGGGGAGAAAGTTGTTAAATTACTCTTATTAGTATAGCAGCTGTTGAACCCTTGCCATTCTTCTCATACATCTGGACTGTAGCTCCCGTGTAGCTCTTCTTTTCCTTCCTGTATAAAATCTTTTCCCTTTACCGTGGATTTTCTTGCATTTTAAGGATGGATCTAAGCCTTCAATAAAAACTTGAGAAAAAAAGGCACAAACAAGTTCTTATCTATATTGCAGGTAATCTTTAGGCCATTTGGAAAGAGGACCTGTCTTTCTTCATTTCTCTAGGAACTGTTGGCCTTAAATACAAATAGTTGGCCATGAGTTTGTAGAACAACCATCCTATTCCGGTTGGCCATGTCATCTAGGAATCCTGGACACTCCAGTCCTGATCTCTCTGAAAGTGGTAAGGTTAGGAGTAATTCTGGAAGAGCATAATATTCTTATTTCCTTTTTATCATAAAATAGAAGATGGTTAACAATCTTGTAGATTTAAATAATTTTGGCTCCATTGCAAGACAAAACGAAATGCTCAGACTTTTGTCTGGTAATCTGACATTTCATTGAACAGTCACAGCTTTCCTCAGTTTTGATATCTTTATGGTCTGCTACAAGTAAGACCAAGCTTTTGTGTCCAGAAAATATACCCCGAGAAGTTTTTCTGGAAAAGCATTCTTTTTTTATGTGCCTCGTTACTCACTTCAGTTTTACATGAATTTTATTTACATTAGCCATGTCAATAGATTTTATTGGCTAACAAGGCTTGCCTATTTTGAGAATTGTTTTCCTTTTCGTTCAAGCTCTGAAAAGCTGATTTTCTGTTAATAAAATATGTTCTGTGATTTCCAAAGATGCTGCACAGAGAGAATTTGAACATATTAACAGCTTCTTGAAAGATTAAGGTAATTTCTTGTGCCATCCTCGTTGGATTGTTTAATGATCCAGGTGTTCACTCTTAATTTCATCAAAGCCAGATTTCAAATATTTTTTTTAATAGGAAAAGGGAACTTCAGCTTCAGAATTATGCAATTTATAAAGAAAACAAGAGGTCAATGTAAAACACCTTTCTTTTTTAACGATTTGTTACAATGACTACTTTTGGCCTTTGTTTTTATGTAGGAATGCCAAGTACTATCTGAAAACTCCCAAAGACTTGCAACAGCTAAAGAAACAAAAAGTACAGCAAAATAGATGTATCATCAAATACCATTTGTTTAATGTGGTGGGGAAGGATTAAAGGTAGCTGGGAATATATAGACATCCACGTTCATCAGTAGTATTGAACATCTGTTTCTTCTATCAATTCTAATATATTCTGTCAGGAAAATTTCTATATCTGAACATAAAATAAACTTCTAATCTCATATGAGTAGATCACCATAGTATAGAATCCTGGAGTGATTTTATGGAAATAGGATACATTTTTGTCACAATTATTGGAATCCGAGGGGTGCTATTTCTGCAATAGAAGTGAAAGCAGATTGCTGCATATCGAATATATTCTCCTTTGGAAAAGGTGACAGAGCAGAGAAATTGGGCAGTGGGTGGTTTGGGGCTGCCAAAGTTACCAAGACAAACTTTTCTCTTGCCAAACACTCAATCTTTATCAGTGCAACCGGTGCTGCTTTTGTAATAAACGTTTTTTACTTTTTTTCCATTTATAAAGGAAGCTGTTACCTTCTGAACAAAATGGCTGTCTGTCGACATTTTTTTAAAACAAGAGAATAAAAGCATTTCCGAACTTTTTAGTGTCAAAGCGTTAAACATAAGAATACTGATTTTTTTTTCCAGTGCGTGTGGTGAGTGCTGTAACCCTGTCATCATTGGTATTCTTAAAATCTTTCAGGGTTTGTTTTTGTTTTTTTAAATTTTATTTTTCTGTTTTGTTCTCTGCTTGTCAATTTACTGTCTGTGTGATCCTCTGGCTGGGGCAGTTACTGACTGTGTGTCTATTGTCTGATTTTAAATTTAAAAAAAGGTAGAGTAGAAATTGAAAAGTTGTACTTTAAAAATATAAACACTAAATGTATTGTCCAAAGGAATTCAAATATGAATCGGCAAAGTTGTGAACTCCTCTTTTTACAGTTATCTTAAGCCAGGGGTCCCCAAACTTGACAACTTTAAGACTTGTGGAATTCAGCTCCCATCATTCTCCAGCCAGTGTTGCCAAGTTTGGAGACCTCTGTCTTAGGCAGTTCCCAATCTTGTTCATTTTAAGCATGGCTGGTTGGGGAATTCTGGAAGTTGAAAGTCCTTAAAATTGGCAAGATTGGGAAATTCTGGTTTAAGGAAACAGATGACTTAGGTTCAAGATACCTTTTAGTTGCCTTTTGTCAGTCTTGAGGAAGACCAGACCAGTGTGGCCTTCACAGGAACATCACTAACCCTTGATTTCCTCACTATATCATATGGTAATACATGGAGTCCCTTTACAAGAGAAAATTAAATTAGTCCTGCAATTGTATTTTTTTTCAAGTTTCTTATTTTTTTTAGTAGTGCAAATTTAAATTGAAGGGATGCATGGAAGTTGGCATTCATACTCTGAATTTTTTGACACATAACTTAAATTATATTTCCAATGCCTCTGCCAAGAGTTCAATTGTTTCTTTGAAAATATAATCTTAAAGGGCTTGTTACTGTGGTAGAAGATTTCTACTACTGCTCCAGGGTTTGGCTAACATAAATATGCATAGCATAATTAGATTTATTATTGCTGCTAATCATATCTTAAACATGAATGTACTTTCAAACATTCTGAACCTGGTTAGTTTGGGGAAAACCTATCACCTTTTCCATTTGAAATAACCAGTGTTTCAGCAGAGATGTATCTGAATTACTATCAAGTGTTTCCTGTCAGAATAAGAACACTGAATTTATTGCAGATGGTTTGTAATTTCACCCTTGGGACATTCTTATTAATGCTGCATCTTAAAGGTTTGAGCCAAGTTTAATTCATAATTGCCTTTAGGTTTTTTTTCCCATCTGTTTTTGACTTAGATGAAATAATGCATCTTTCAGGCATTCACCAAATAAACTAAATTTGTCTTGAGCATCTCCTTAAATAGAAACAGCTCATAAGCTTGACTTACCTATATTAGCAGTCACATTACTGATGGCTGGTACCTATTATTTTAAGGATAGTTCAAGCGAATGAGATGCAGTTGCTCCTATAACTTGAAATGCATGCTGTTAATTCATCCCTGCCAACATAGTTGATTATTTTCATCAGACTTAGTTCATGATGAATTTAGAACACTAAGTTCTGTTTTATCAAATTAATCACAAAGATAGTATAGTAGGCTGTCAGAAGGGTGAAAAATTGTGGGATGGCTCCCCCATGTTTATGTACTGCAGATGGGTATAGTAAAGATGAGATTTTATTTTTTTGTCTACTTGGAAAGTGATTTGTTGCACTTTAATAGAGGAGGAGACAACTTTTGCATATATAGTCTGACATATGTTGAGTTCCTTTTGGAAGGACTAGCAGTGGGAGATAATAGATGTCTGTAATACAAGTGCATATGCTGCCTTCAACATATATGTGTTTAATTGATGGAGTCATGTTACTGACAAGATAATGAATTGAAAAGAAATTGTGTTATATATTCAACTTTGCCTTGATAATATAAACATTTTTTTGTTCAGTTGTTTCTTTTTTATTAATAAAGTTCATGAGGAGATTATAAACTTGTTTAAAA